TTTCTGTGAGTGAACCTTTCATTGTACTTCAGGAATAATTTTTCTTTACACAAAAACATATTCAGTTTCATCAAGGAGCTTTCAATCTAGTGGATATTGTCATAATTCATCAGAAGATTATAATTCAGTGAGATAAAAGATGACTGTGAGGGGTACCTGTTTGGTACCATGGAAAATCATAAGAGGGGAAGCTAGGCAGGTGTAGGGGAGTGTGAGGTCAGGTGGAGGTCTTTTTGGCATGGAAATGTCAAGGCTGAGGTGTGAAAAACTGTAGGATTGCCAGGTGAAGAAAAGGAGATGCCTATATATATATATATATATATATATATATATTTGTATCTTCTTTGAGTGCTATAAACTAGGGTTGTTTCTCTTGTAGAGCCTCGGTGAGTGATTCTGATGGCACACGTTTACCTTCATATCCTTGTTTTTCCTGATCAAATTGATAGGTAAATTTAGTCAAGAGTGAAACCTTAGTTGATCATTGAATTCTAGATCTTAAGTCCTGCTTTATGAAGTGACAGAATTAAAACAAAGGATAGCGCATAGCCAAGAGAAGGTAAGGAAGCCCAAGGCTTCCTTACTGTCTGTTAAAACATAGCCAGGATCAAAACAGAACTTCAGACACAGTTCAATACTCTTTTCATTACATATCATTATTTTTACATTATCAGCAATGGCAATGACAACAAAGTAAGAGAAGCTTTGGTTAGCTTCACACTGGGCTGGCACAGTCTACACCACTTCAGTCACTTTGATCTGATCTTTGTTCTGTATTGTTGGTGTCCATTTTTCTGGAAGGTTTCATGGCAAAAATGGTAGATGATGCTAGTGAAGGGAGGAAGAAGATGCCTATATTATACTGTTTCTCTTAATTGTTGGACTTGTTTGTTTTGGTATTAGCTTAGTTGAAAAGGAGGTTTATTGGAAGGACATTAGACTGCCTATGGAATCCAGAAAACTATTGAACAACAAGGCCTTGGGAAATGAAAGCACTTCAGAATTTCTGAGATCTTTAGCCACAGGAATTTATGGATCTTTCCTATAGAATCTCACCAGTAACAAGGCTCAGCTCAGGAATCCCAGTCTCTGGGTCTCTCTGTTCATTGTTTTTGATGAGTTTGTGGGATCCATGTGCATAGTGATTTTCTTTGTTTGGAATTATATCCTCAAGGTTAAACAGTGCCTGGAACATGGTAAACACTCAATAAATATTATTGAATAAATAAGTGAGTGGAATCACAGTCCCCCTGGAGAAGATACCTAAAGGGCCTTACCTGAGGTGGGTGTCTGCCCTTGTTCCAGACACCTGTGGCAGGATGTGGGATAGTACACACTTGCCGCCTGAGGTCCACTGGGGGTCAGTGGCACTTCTCAGAGAATAAAGACTGTCAGGAGAAGCGGTCAACATCCTGAAGGTGACTGTTATTTGTGTTTATCCCTAAAAAGACTGACAAGAAATCAACAGTTCTGGAAAAGTGACATTTAAAATAAGGGAAGATTACTGTACAAAGTTTTGTGTCTTTTCACATACTACATCTAAACTTCATATTCCAATTAGCACATTTCGGTGAATTAAAATGTCATCTATTGTAGGATGAAACCACCTCTTTGTGTACTATGAAAAAAGAAAAGATGTTCAAGAAGCAGACTCTAACAGGGGATCCTGACTTAAAGCTGGGAGACCAAATGGCTGGTCTTTCAGTGCAAGGATAAAAGAGAAATAAACCTGCAACACCAACAAGGCAGCAAGGGCACATGGCTGCCTCAGTCATAGTACTGAGAGGAAAAAGACATACTTTCTGAATATGTGGACTCCAAGCTGGTACTCCTACAGATTTGCTGACTGAATTCACATGAACAGTGTAGTCTGAACAACCCCAAGCAAATGATGTAATATAAAGTGATCTCAGGTTGATAGGGCTCCATGTGATTGGCAGAAGCAAACCCAAATCTTCTCCTGGAGAATTGCCAGCCCGGCTGCAAGATGTCATCTTATTTTTAACAATGTTAATATGTAAACATGTATGTTTTATAATACGTGAAATTGGCAATGTGCTCCAACTTCCTACATTTTTACCTTGTCGTGATTGATCAAATTTACATTTCATCCTGTAACCATAGTTAACTCCCATTTCCACCTGAGACCTCTTCACATATCCCAGGCTAAGTCTGATATGTTTCACCTATCAGCTGTATTAGGTCGTCAGAAATTTACTGAAATTCCTTGTCTATGGATAGACCTCCTCCGCCTATTCTGTTTTATTGCCCTACTACCACTTAAATGGAAACTCAGAGGGGAGTGAAGACAAATTCATGTGCTCAGCCCTCTATCTGAAACTGAAGTTTGACATTAAAATTAGAAAAGACAACAATAAAAATAATTGACAGAATACAAACAAGTTTTGTGAACTTCTATAAATATACGTCATCTTGGCTTTGGCATACAGTTGGTTTTATTCCTTAAAATATGACAGTCCTTTCCTCAAAGAAGTGTCAAAAACAGACAAAGCCACATTAATGTTTTATTGGTTTTCCTTTCCCATGGGATGACACAGGATTACCAGATGGTAGGGATAAAAAAAGGTAAAAAGGGACATTGAGTATAATGCAGTGAAATAGGACTTTATTTTCTTTAACTCCATGGATCTCAACTGGGGGCTATTTTGCCCCTCAGGGGTCATTTGGCAATGTCTGAACACATCTTTGGTTTCCACGACTGAGGATGTTTTACTGGCATGTAGTGGGGAGAGGCCAGGGGGTGCTGCTGAGCATCCTACCATGCACAGAATAGCCTCTAACAAAGAATTATTCAGTTGAACATGCTAATAGTGCTAAGGGTAAGAACACTTACCCTTGTACAACAATGTGAATATACTTTATACTGAACTATATACTTAAAAATGGTGAAGATGATAAATTTTATGTTATGTGTATTTTACCACAATTAAAAAAAAAGAGAACATGGTTCCTTATTTTCTAGGCAAAATTTCTCTTTAGAAGTCAGCTTTATGGTTTTTGGATAGGAATAAGAAAATTCAACTTCTGTGCTCAGTTAGAGCTTAACTTCATAGGGTTAAGATTGGAGTATGTGGTGAGATATATAACAGAATCCATATATCAGATACCATAGGAGAGCCATTCAAGCTACTGTGTCAGGGATTTGCAAGCAACAGACATAAACTGACTCTTGCTAACATAAGCAAAAGACAAAATTTATTAGAAGGCAATGCAGTCAGCTGCAAAACATGGAAGAGACGCCCCGTACCTAAGCTGTTTGTAGGACAGGACCCAAGGCAGCTTCAGAGATTTATCTGGGTGCAGGAATGAATAGGCGGTGTCTCCAAAACTCACTACCAGGGTGAATCAGTGTCTGGTGTTTTCAGAGGGAGTGTCTGATAGGCCAAACTTGGGTCCTGTACTCCCTTCTCAGCCCTGGCAGCATGTGGCATACTCAAGTATGTCTCACTAAGATAATATACAAAGGGGAAAGACTGTCCCTGTCCCAAAAAGTAGGGTGAAGGGATGCTGGGCAGGTAAAAACAATATCCACTTCAGCTACAAGATAGATATTGCCTTCTGCTGCCCAAACCAAAATGCAAACAGGCAAACAAACAAACAAAATGCTTTAATCACAGGACACATTTGTTTACTGCAAAATTTAACCTCTCTTGGTCTGTTTTGTCATCTACAAAGTGAGGAGCTTAAATTTAATGACTTCTTCCTTTTTATTTTTATTATAGACCTATTCCCTTATGTTTTAAGAGAGTCTTTGAATATATAACTCATTTTGCCTAGGTTGTAGATTCCGCCCCTCATTTTGTCTGTCCCTGGAATGGCTCCTTTAATGGTTTTGGTGGTATTTCTGAGTTTTGGATTATTGATCCATTTTGGGCGAAAAAAAATCCTTAAATGAAATTTTAAAAAATGAATACATCTTTTCAGGGTGCTTATGTGTGGCATAATTTGTATTAGTAAGAAAGTAAATTACAATTATTTATCCCTCTATTTGTAGAGAAAACCATGCATGGGTGCAGGGAGTATGGAGGAGGAACGGCTGAAATGGAAAAGCCTTTGCCAGCTCTGTGTCCTGCTAAAGGATTAAGCCCCGCATAGAGAGTGTTTTTACCACAGAAATACAGTAGCGAATCTCTGTGCATGGAGAGGGAGAGCTACTTGAACCTCAGGAAATGAGTGTCTGAGGGAAGTCAGAAGGACTGGGGTTTAGAGATTTGAGGATTAGGGAGAGATGTGGTAGGAGGTTGGAACCTGCAGAGGTAGGTGGCCAGTGGGAAATTCCTGATGCTGGGATGGGTAAAGGATTTGAAGGGTGAGGATAATATCTAATTTGAGTTTAGTTCAATTTCGTTGTCCTTGTGCAATGTAAAATCTCACCGTTGATGCAAATCTTCAGCAGTGTCAACAATCTGACAAAAGCCTTGTAGGACTGGTTTGGAGAAAGTAAAAGAGAAGAGAGTGAGATTGATATTTGGGTTGTGATGGGGCAGAGGAAAGGGAACACAGAGCAGCTGTGGTCGGAGAGATGCCATGAAGTCAGTTCAGGGTCAGGAACTTGGTGCCAGAAGGAACTATGAGAATGTAAATCCCTGGGAATTCACACACATTTTGTGGGAAGATTTGGACTTCCCAGAATACTCAGAGTGAGGGATTGGACCAAAGGATGAGAGGAACTTAAGGTACCTTTGGGTTATACTATCTTGGTTTATACTATACTGTACTGTACTGCACTATACTATACTATACTATACTATACCTTACCCAACTAGTGATAGGGTGAGGTGCAGCTGAAGTCCCAAAATAATGTGGTGGGGTTATTTAATTCTTTTTTCTGGTCTTAGTCTTAGCATATCTTCTCTTGCCACAGAAACAGTATTTCCAAATGGAAATTATTTTACCATGGAATAAAAATTTTATTTATCTATGTATTTAACATTTATTGACATCCACCAAGTGCATGTTGCTTGAGGAGAGTCATAGATGAGGGGGAGAGAGATGTACGAAAACCAACCACAATACAAGGATGGAGGCAGCAAGGGGTAAATGGAGTGCAGCAACAGTGTTCTTTAATTCTGGTTGGGAACAACTATATAGAATCCAATGAATGAATGTGTGTTCTCGCTGAAGTTTCTAATTTTTTCTTGAATCATTTCTCTTTCCTGTGAAGAGACAAAATAAGAACATTCTGACAACGTATAAAACATATTAAAAAATCCTAAGACTATAAAAACACAAGAAATGTCACAGTATGTACAGTCCATCATTCACCCAGCCCAGTTTCTGTGCCTGGGACAACAGTTCTGAAGAACAACCTCCAAAGGCTAAAAAGGCAACACTGTATGGAGTGTAGTCCCTGGGTGGTCAGATATCTTTGCACCCTGTCTTTTCACTCTGTCATTTTACCAGCCATGTGATCTTGTGTAAGTTATTACTTAGCTTCTCTTCATGTTAGATTACCAGCCTGTAAAATGAGGACAGTAACAACTCATTGGATTGTTGAATTAAATAAGCTATTGCACATGAAATGCCTGGTACACTATAAAAACTTGATGCATTTTAGCTATTATTTTTATTATTCTGAAAGGAACGTTGGGAATTTTATATCCATGAGTTTAACCACATTCTTTTGAATTTATATTTTCTGCTCACATCACTTATTGTATTAATAAACTACCTACATTAAAAACCTATGTAATTAAATCTTACTTTCATTTGTCCAGAAGCTACCTCTTTCCAACTTTGACTAGAGGCACTTCACTGTCTAATACTTAAGGATTTAATGCACTAATCCATCTTCTTTATGTTAAATCTAATCAGTCTGCCGAAGAACGTTTTTCAGGCCCTTTCTAATTTTCTTAAGGTTCAAAGATAGTTATACATGCCATAGAGTATTCTGTAAGTTCCATAGTTTTATATAAGGGGAGGTACTATTTTCTGTTTTGTTGGTGTTGACTTTACCAACAATTGTCAGTGTTTCGTGAACTTTTTTGGACAGCAGCAGCTCCTTAAGTCAGAACTTTGTGGTACAGTTAATGGTATTTTCCAAAACGTGTTCTCTGAAATGCTATTCTGAGAGGGCTCAATGGGTGTGCCACAAAAAGGATTATAATTTGGGAAGCACTGAGTTAAATGACAGTTTGTTAGATCATTTTTAACATCCTCTGCACTTTAAATACAGTAGGTAGTGGTTTTTGAACTTGTTTCTCCAAAGCATCTTTTTTTGGGGAATTGTCTGGTAGGATCAGTGTTCTGGGAACACAGTTTGGGAGATGCTGATTGATAGTAAGTTATAGGTTCAACGGATAGCTTAAATCCATTATCCTACAGGAGTAATTTCCCCCTGAGGACATTACATTATTTATTATGTGGAAGCACTTTCATTGCTCTTCTAAACATTCAGAGACTCTTATGTTATCTTTTTGCCGAATATTCTTATCATCCTGGTAATTTGCTGGAAAGGTTTAATTATATCTGTGTACTTAAAGATATCATTCTGTATGTATTTTCTTTTCCAAATTGCTTTTAGAAGCATACTAAGTAGTGATAGGCTGAAATATGAAGTAGAAAGAATGTGAAATCATGCAGCCCTGGCTTGGAATCTTTGTTCAAGAATTCAGCAGCTTCTTGTCCTTGGACGATTTATTTAGCTTCTTTGACTCTTACTGTTCTCATCTTTATCTAGAGACATGGCTTTTTATCCTTGTCCTTTGATTCCTTTCTCACATTACTCTTTTTGACTTGATCAAGCAAATACAAATCAGTTTATTCTTTTAAATTGAATTTGAAACTTGATTAAAACAAAAAAGTGTAGATTGGGACATGGTATATTCATACCCATCATGACCAGCAATAATAAGAAGTCACTGTCTATGGTTAACCCATTTCCCTATGCATATATACAGGCAGGAAAAATTGGGTAACTTTTAAGCACCTAGGGCCAAACCCTTGGGAGCAGGAAGCTACGGGGGAAGGTGTTATGTTCCTCTGTCCGTCCCTATGGGGGAGGCTCCCTAAAGTATTTGAACCAAGCAAGAAAGAAGAGTGAGTGGCAGCTTATAAAAAACGTTTGAGAGCATCATTTTCATGATTTCACCAAATGATACTATATTACTTAAAACTTAAAATCAATATCCTCATAGTATAAAATAGCATGATTAAATTTCAAGTATCTAATGTCTCAAATTTCTCCCCTCAATAGGCTTTTAGATATAAAAGTTCCAGTGTGTTTTTCCAAGTAAATACCTATTTCCCAGTCTTTCTCATTCAAGCCTACCCAAAGGAGGCAATGTCTTAAGGAGACATTGGAAATATGGAAATCATAAATATTACCATATAATTTCTGAATTCCATTGATATCATCCTGTGAAAGTTTGAAATTCTTGTAATTGCCTTCTCCATAAGTTGGATACATCACAGCATTAGGATCAGATGAATGATCCAGACCCAAGGAATGGCCAAGTTCATGAGTTGCAGTATACAGGAAATTAACTCCTGCAACAAAAGAGACATACAGTAACTGTAAAAAATAACTATATATATAATAAAATCAAAATAGATAATAATAAAAATAAAATAACTATAAAATACCTAACCATTTAAATTCTCCATAGTTAGCTTATTTGTTTCCAGGCCTTCACAAGGGCGGAAGGTTTAGAAGAGGAATCAGAATAGTAGTTCTTTCCTCAATACATAAGGCAAGTGCTAACAGCCATGAAAGGGGACATCAACAGTAACACAGTCATAGTAGGGGACTTAAACAACTCACTTTCACCAATGGACAGATCATCCAAAATGAAAATAAATAAGGAAACACAAGCTTTAAATGATACATTAAACAAGATGTACTTAATTGATATTTATAGGACATTCCATCCAAAAAAACCAGAATACACTTTCTTCTCAAGTGCTCCTGGAACATTCTCTAGGATAGATCATATCTTGGGTCACAAATCAAGCCTTGGTAAATTTAAGAAAATTGAAATCATATCAAGTATCTTTTCCAACCACAACATTATGAGACTAGATATCAATTACAGGAAAAAATCTGTAAAAAATACAAACACATGGAGGCTAAAAAATACACTACTAAATAACCAAGAGATCACTGAAGAAATAAAAGAGGAAATAAATAAAATACCTAGAAACATATGAAAATGAAAACACGATGACCCAAAACCTATGGGATGCAGCAAAAGCAGTTCTAAGAGGGAAGTTTATAGCAATACAATCCTATCTCAAGAAACAAGAAACATCTCAAATCAACAACCTAACCTTACACCTAAAGCAATTAGAGAAAGAAAGAACAAAAAAAACCCCGAAAGTCAGCAGAAGGAAAGAAATCATAAAGATCAGATCAGAAATAAATGAAAAAGAAATGAAGGAAACAATAGCAAAGATCAATAAAAATAAAAGCTGGATTTTTCAGAGATAAACAAAATTGATAAACCATGAGCCAGACTCATCAAGACAAAAGGGAAGACTCAAATCAACAGAATTAGAAATGAAACAGGAGAAGTAACAACTGACACTGCAGAAATACAAAAGATCATGAGAGATTACTACAAGCAACTATATGCCAATACAATGGACAACCTGGAAGAAATGGACAAATTCTTAGAAAAGCACAACCTTATGAGACTGAACCAGGAAGAAATAGAAAATATAAACAGACCAATCACAAGCACTGATATTGAAATTATGATTAAAAACCTTCCAACAAACAAAAGCTCAGGACCAGATGGCTTCAAAGGCAAAGTCTATCAAACATTTAAAGAAGAGCTAACACCTATCCTTCTCAAACTATTCCAAAATATAGCAGAGGCAGGAACACTCCTAAACTCATTCTAAGAGGCCACCATCACCCTGATACCAAAACCAGACAAAGATGTCACAAAAAAAGAAAACTACAAGCCAATATCACTGATGAACATAGATGCAAAAATCCTCAACAAAATACTAGCAAACAGAATCCAATAGCACATTAAAAGGATCATACACCATGATCGAGTGGATTTTATCCCAGGAATGCAAGGATTCTTCAATATACTCAAATCAGTCAGTGAGATACACCATATTAACAAACTGAAGAATAAAAACCATATGATCATCTCAATAGATGCAGAAAAAGCTTTTGACAAAATTCAACACCCATTTATGATAAAAACCCTCCAGAAAGTAGTCATAGAGGGAACTTGTGTCAACATAATAAAGGCCATATATGACAAACCCACAGCCAACATCATTCTCAATGGTGAAAAACTGAACCCATTTACACTAAGATGAGGAAGAAGATAAGGTTGCCCACCCTCACCACTATTATTCAACATAGTTTTGGAAGTTTTAGCCACAGCAATCAGAGAAGAAAAAGAAATAAAAAGAATCCAAATCAGAAAAGAAGAAGTAAAGCTGTCACTGTTTGCAGATGACATAATACTATACATAGAGAATCCTAACGATGCTACCAGAAAACTACTAATGCTAATCAATGAATGTGGTAGAGTAGCAAGATACAAAATTAATGCACAGAAATCTCTTGCATTCCTATATGCTAATGACGAAAAATCTGAAAGAGAAATTGAGGAAACACTCCCATTTACCGCTGCAACAAAAAGAATAAAGTATCTAGGAATAAACCTACCTGAGGAGACAAAAGACCTGTATGCAGAAAACTATAGGACTCTTATGAAAGAAATGAAAGAGGATACAAACATATGGAGGGATATACCATGTTCTTGGATTGGAAGAATCAACATTGTGAAAATGACTATACTACCAAAAGCAATCTACAGATTCAACGCAATCCCTATCAAATTACCAACGGCATTTTTCACAGAACTAGAACAAATAATTTCACATTTGTACAGAAGCACAAAAGACCCTGAATAGCCAAAGCAATATTGAGAAAGAAAAATGGAGCTGGAGAAATCAGGCTCCCTGACTTCAGACTACAGTACAAAGCTACAGTAATCAAGACAGTATGGTACTGACACAAAAACAGAAATATAGACCAATGGGACAGGATAGAAAGCCCAGAGATAAACCCATGCACCTATGGTCACCTTATCTTTGACAAAGGGGGTAAGAATATACAATGGAGAAAAGACAGCCTCTTCAATAAGTGGTGCTGGGAAAACTGGACAGCTACATGTAAAAGAATGAAATTAGAACACTCCATAACACCATACACAAAAATAAACTCCAAATGGATTAAAGACCTAAATGTAAGGCCAGAAACTATAAAACTCTTAGAGGAAAACATAGGCAGAACACTCTATGACATAAATCACAGCAAGATCCTTTTTGACCCACCTCCTAGAGAAATGGAAATAAAAACAAAAATAAACAAATGGGACCTAATGAAACTTAAAAGCTTTTGCACACACAGCAAAGGAAACCATAAACAAGACCAAAAGACAACCCTCAGAATGGGAGAAAATATTTGCAAATGAAGCAACTGACAAAGGATTAATCTCCAAAATATACAAGCAGCTCATGCAGTTCAATATCAAAAAATCAAACAACCCAGTCCAAAAATGGGCAGAAGACCTAAAAAGACATTTCTCTAAACAAGATATACAGATTGCCAACAAACACATGAAAGGATGTTCAACATCACTAATCATTAGAGAAATGCAAATCAAAACTACAATGAGGTATCACCTCACACCAGTCAGAATGGCCATCATCAAAATATCTAGAAGCAATAAATGCAGGGGGGGAGTGAGGAGAAAAGGGAACCCTCTTGCACTGTTGGTGGGAATGTAAATTGGTACAGCCACTATGGAGGTTCCTTAAACAACTAAAAATAGAACTAGCATACGACTCAGCAATCCCACTGCTGGGCATATACCCAGAGAGAGCCATAATTCAAAAAGAGCCATGTACCCAATATTCATTGCAGCACTATTTACAGTAGCCAGGAAGCAACCTAAGTGTCCATCGACAGATGAATAGGTAAAAAGATGTGGCACTTATATACAATGGAATATTACTCAGCCATAAAAAGAAACGAAATTGAGTTATTTGTAGCGAGGTGGATGGACCTACATTCTGTCATACAGAATGAAATAAGTCAGAAAGAGAAAAACAAGTACCGTATGCTAACACATATATATGGAATCTTAAAAAAAAAAAAAAAAGGGTTCTGAAGAACCTCAGAGTAGGACAGGAATAAAGATGCAGACATAGAGAATGGACTTGAGGACATGGGGAGGGGCAAGGGTAAGCTGGGATGAAGTGAGAGAGTGGCATGGACATATATACCCTACCAAATGTAAAATAGAGAGCTATTGGAAAGCAGCCACACAGAACAGGGAGATCAGCTTGGTGCTTTTTAACCACCTAGAGGGGTGAGATAGGTAGGGTAGGAGGGAGACGCAAGAAGGAGGAGTTATGGTGTTATATGTATACGTATAGCTGATTCACTTTGTTATGCAGCAGAAACTAGCACACCACTGTAAAGCAATTATACTCCAATAAAGATGTTAAAAAATGCAGATGTGGTACATTTATATGATGGAATACTACTCAGCCATAGAAAATAATGAAATAATGCCATTAGCAGCAACATGGATGGACCTGAGATATCATACTAAGTGAAATAAGAAAAAGACAAATGCCATCTGATATCACTTATATGTGGAATCTAAAATATGACACAAATGAACATATCTATGAAACAAAAACAGACTCACAGACATTGAGAGCAGACTCATGGTTGCCAAGTGGGGGTGTGGGAGGGAAGGATTGGGAGTTTGGGATTAGCAGATGCAAACCATTATATATAGAATGGATAAACAACAAGTTCCTACTGTAAAGCACAGGGAACTCTATTCAATATCCTGTGATAAACCATAATGGAAAAGTATATGAAAAAGAATATGTGTATAACTGAATGACTTTGCAGTACAGCAGAAATTAACACAACACTAAATCAACTATACTTCAACAAAGTTTTAAAAAAAAGAATAGTAGTGCTTTAATCTCATCACTTTTTTTTAATATAATGTATTTCTGCCTATTTGCTTCTTATGTAATCACTCAGATAGCAGTATTCAGTAGAGGAAAGCAAAGGCTTCTAAGTATTGTATAAAGACCTGGTTTTGAAACCCAGCTCTGCTACTTACTAGCTGGACAACTTTGGACAAATTAATGGGTATTTCTGAGTCTCAGTTCCTCATCTGTTAAATGGAGATAGTAATTCCTACCTTGTCGATTTGTCATAATGAGTTTCCCAATATCTGGAAAATAATAATGGCTATTCAATAAATGATAGTGACTTTGAATAGCAGGAGAGAGAAAGTTGGCTTTGAGAAAGCACGACCATAAGGCAGGAACTCCAGGCGATGCTGGGATTTGCTTTTGATTTGTTAAAGTGTATTATGTATGTGCTCTCTCTCCCTCAGACTCATAGAAAGGCTTTGCAAATAAGGGGGAAGGTGTGAATGTGTTTGAGTGGCCAGAGTTCCAATTGTGGTGCATTAGATTGAAGGAAGCTGTCTTTAGCTTACCTTGAGTGGGAAGAAGGAAGAATGACAAAGGTATGCAAGATGTGAAACGGAAGCAGTGTCATAATTTTACATAGGTTAGATTTTCACAGCAAGGCATCACTGTAGTGGTGAATTCCCATTGCTAAACACGAGTACTCATTTCACTTTCAGGGCCAGTAACCAGTAGCCACTTTTTAAAAAATGTACAGTGGAGAAAGGACAGCCTCTTCAATAAGTGGTGCTGGGAAAACTGGACAGGTACATGTAAAAGTATGAGATTAGATCACTCCCTAACACCATACACAAAAATAAGCTCAAAATGGATTAAAGACCTAAATGTAAGGCCAGAAACTATCAAGCTCTTAGAGGAAAACATAGGCAGAACACTCTATGACATAAATCACAGCAAGATCCTTTTTGACCCACCTCCTAGAGAAATGGAAATAAAAACAAAAATAAACAAATGGGACCTAATGAAACTTCAAAGCTTTTGCACAGCAAAGGAAACCATAAACAAGACCAAAAGACAACCCTCAGAATGGGAGAAAATATTTGCAAATGAAGCAACTGACAAAGGATTAATCTCCAAAATTTACAAGCAGCTCATGCAGCTCAATAACAAAAAAACAAACAACCCAATCCAAAAATGGGCAGAAGACCTAAATCGACATTTCTCCAAAGAAGATATACAGACTGCCAACAAACACATGAAAGAATGCTCAACATCATTAATCATTAGAGAAACGCAAATCGAAACTACAATGAGATATCATCTCACACCAGTCAGAATGGCCATCAACAAAAAATCTGGAAACAATAAATGCTGGAGAGGGTGTGGAAGAAAGGGAACACTCTTGCACTGCTGGTGGGAATGTGAATTAGTACAGCCACTATGGAGAACAGTATGGAGGTTCCTTAAAAAACTACAAATAGAACTACCATATGACCCAGCAATCCCACTACTGGGCATATACCCTGAGAAAACCATAATTCAAAAAGAGTCATGTACCAAAATGTTCATTGCAGCTCTATTTACAATAGCCCGGAGATGGAAACAACCTAAGTGTCCATCATCGGATGAATGGATAAAGAAGATGTGGCACGTATATACAATGGAATATTAGCCATAAAAAGAAACGAAATTGAGCTATTTGTAATGAGGTGGATGGACCTAGAGTCTGTCATACAGAGTGAAGTAAGTCAGAAAGAGAAATACAAATACCGTATGCTAACACATATATATGGAATTTAAGAAAAAAAAATGTCATGAAGAACCTAGGGGTAAGACAGGGATAAAGACACAGACCTACTAGAGAGTGGACTTGAGGATATGGGGAGGGGGAAGGGTAAACTGTGACAAAGTGAGAGAGTGGCATGGACATATATACACTCCCAAACGTAAAATAGCTAGCTAGTGGGAAGCAGCCCCATAGCACAGGGAGATCAGCCTGATGCTTTGTGACCACCTAGTGGGGTGGGATAGGGAGGGTGGGAAGGAGGGAGACGCAAGAAGGGAGAGATATGGGGACATATGTATATGTATAACTGATTCACTTTGTTATAAAGCAGAAACTAACACACCATTGTAAAGCAATTATACTCCAATAAAGATGTTAAAAAAAAAAAAAAAAGCATTGTCTCCAGTTAGGGTTATTTATCTAGAGCTTCTCTTCATTAGTTTTCTGTTTTGTCTATGATCTTCTACTTTGTAAAGTGATGAATATGATAGGCTGGGTTATGGTGTGGGTTCTTTCTGAAAAACAGTGAATAATATCAGAACTGTATATACTTCTCAAATATCATAGTCTCTGCTCCTCTTTCACCTTCAATTAAAAAACTTATTTTGGGGATATATATAGAAGGGCTATAATTTATTGAATTATTAATATATACCAAGCACTGTGCTAAGCACTGCATAAGCATTATCTCATTTAATTCCAACAGCAATCCTGTGAGGTAGGAATTATTTATAGTCCCATTTCATAGATAAGGAAACTGAGGCTCAGAGAAGTTAAATAACTTGCCCAAAGACACAAAGTGAGTAATTGGTAGAGGTAAAGCAAATTGAACCCAACATTTTTTGACTCTGTAGCCTGAGTATCTATCTTCTATATATGGAGCATTATGAGCATATTAAATGCAATAATGCATTTAAAGCACAGAGGTGGCAGTTAGCAAGTGCTCAATAACTATTATTAATTGCTTTCAATTGTCAAATTAAAGATAGTTAAGTATAAAAAGTTCAGGATTTTAAAAAGGATATGTAGTGGAAGAGATTTGGGATGCTGTACCTATACTGCTAGCATCAGTCCAGCGTTCATCCTCATCAAAGTGAGCATCTCCTCCCAGGCCTGGCCCAGGTGGAAAGGCATGAGCCAGTGTGTTTCCTGGCCCATCAAATGGGTCGGGGTCCCCGTGAGCTGAAAGAAAAAGTGGTAATTGCCTTTAGTGACTGAATTTATCTCCAGTCATTTCATCTTTTAGTTTATAGTACATGATTATTGAGGTTAGAAAGATTAGCCCCAAGCAGTCAGCTGCATACACAGGGTGGTTTGGGTGTTTATTTGTCACAGGGACTTTTTCTTTCACAGAACCACTGCTCATCCCTGATAACCACCACATGTTGAAAGCTTACTGATATGGACTTTAAATACATTCACATCCTACTTATGGTGGCATCTACATCAGTGTTATGCTACAACATCAGTGTTATGTTTGATCATTTTCCTTAGCTGGATGGTGGCAGAGTGCACAATGAGTTTGAGTACTGGATTCAGCAGATAACTGCATACCATTTAATATACGTTTTCTTAAAAACCCAGCTTTTTCTTTGCGGATGTAGTAGACAGTCCCTTGAAGAACTGTGCTCAAGGTGTCTTAAAATAGATTTTGATAGTGCTTTTATTTGTGATGCAGAGACATTTATTTTCAAATTGGTGTCAGGCCATATCCAGTTTATCCAGTTCTTGAAAAACATGGAGTGCCATGATCAGTGCTTTTCTGTAAGGTTTTCTTCAGTCTTGTTAATATTGTGGTTGAAGCTCAAATTTCGGCTAAATTCACAGCACCCAGGAAGTTTAACATTAAAGCAGGCCAAAAAGACCAACATTTTCCTCTAAATTTGCACCATGCAACACCAGCAATTAATAGCAGTTCATGTATATGGGTTATATCTCCTTAAGCCCTTTAATATGAAAGTTCTTTATTTTCTACTTTTTACTACATGAAGGGTGTTGGCAATAAGCCACAGGGACTGTTCACTTCTTGGAGACCACTTAAGGCCTTTGGAAGTTGTAACCTCTTCTTTTGGTTTAATGTTGATGTTAGTTAGATATATTTTAAACTGTCCCATAAATATATATGTATATCATGATTCATGTTACAAAACAGAGGTTGGCAAACATTTTCTGTGAAGGACCAGATTTGTGGGCTTGAAGACCTCTGTCGGAATTGCTAAAGTCTGCCATTGTAGCCCCAAAGCACTCATAGACAATAGGTAATTGAAGGACCATGGCTGTGTTCTAATAACTATTTACAGGTTTGGCTCATGGGCCATAGTTTGCCATCTTCTGCTATAAAAAGTGGCTCGAAGTTAATGGACTAGAAAAAGTGTAAGAACATTGATCTTTAATGAGATGATCTATCTATCTATCATCTATCATCTATCTATATCTCTTTAAAGATTTTTAAATCCCAGAAAGAGGAGGGCACTGATATAAATAACAAGCAAAATAGCACACAGGATCAGCCTGCAGGAATCTTCCTTACCTCCTCTTGCAAAGCCAATCATGATATCAGCAATTCCCCAGCTAACTCTCTTGAAGCTCAGTGGGATCTCTTTGCTCCACACGTTGAAGGCCTTTGCCACTAATTGATTCACTATGACATGTGGTAAGTCTCGAGTATATGACACGATCCTGGTAGAAAACAAGAAAACAATGTTTGACCTTTTAGGAAATAGGCTTTACTGTTTTTGCTAAAATGAGCCAAAGCAAAACTAACCTGTAGGTGACCACTTTGGAAGTCCATTTTGGGCGATCTGGGAATAGGGAATATTCTGCAACATCTGGCACTCCACATCTGGGCTTCCGCATGATTTCTATAATGTGGGAGCTTAATGTTCCAGTTATAGGCAGGCGAAAAAATTTTTGCATCTGCTTGAGTTTGACTTCTAAACTATTGGGGTCCCTTATTTTTGAATCAGATGGATAAAATCTTTTCAGATAGTCCTATTGGAAAGAGAGTAATTGATCTATAATTCTTGTTTATTGTCTTCTTTTAGCTCAGAAGTCTTCACATCTTTGCTTCTGACTCCTGTGGACCCAAATAGTAGTGTGAAGGCAGAATACTTACATAGTAAACAAGTAAAACAAGAGTGCATTAATGAAAAGAAAACTTAATATTGATGATGAAGCACTGCCATTTCATTTCATGAGCAAAAGAGTCCCTCCATTTTTCTTTTATCCCATTAAACGTTTTGAAGAGACACACACTGTATACTTTATAAAACATAGACTTGTTTGTAATAGCCAATCAGGAAGAGTGCCCAGTGTGCCCTCAAGGGGCACAGCTGAGACCTCCCCTTGGCATCAGAGACCCTATGGGGAGGTCCAAAGTCACCCAGCTCTTCCTAAAATTCTCTGGAGATCAGATCCCAGCTGAGGTTAAAGGTCTTAATATTTTAGTCCTGGGAAAGGTTATTATGACATTATTTTGTTTTATATACGTATTCTCCAGGTGAAGAAATCAGAACTCTTAGTAACTAAATGATTTGCCCTGGGGTCACATGTTAAGTTAGTAGCAGAACTGGCTCTGAGTTTCTTGACTGCCAGGCCAGTGCTCTTTCCATGGCTAACTCCTTAATAAAACCCTCTTTGTGAGACTGCAGGATAAAGCAGGTCTCTCAGGTGTATTCCATGGGCAATTGGGTCCCTGGGAATTTCTTAAAGGACACTAGTGAATGGGTATGAGGGTGGCAGTCCAGCAGCCTAAATAGGAAAAAATAGAAAGTGAATGAAATAACAACAGCAGCAAAGGACTTTTATTAAGCACTTAGTAGTGCCAGGGACTATAACAGGAGCTTTACATTACTTATCTCATTTAAACCTCATAACCACCCTGTGAAGTAAGGTATGGCATTATTTTCCTATTTCACATTTGAAGAATCATGGCTCAGGAGAGTGAAATAAGTTGCAGGAGGTCACCCCATGAGTAACCAAAGGAGCTGGTATTTGAACTTGTGTTCTGATTCCAAAGCCCATTTCATCAGAAAAATGTATAGTGTTATATAATGTGTGATAATATCTTTGAAATGATTTAAACATTGGCTCACTCATTTGCAATCTAATTTGGAGTAGGTGGTAATGTTTACTTGTCTGAGAACCGCTTAGGAGTATGCCCTTTATATAAGTAACCTTAGCAATATTGTGCTCTGTCTTCCTGTTACCAACGACTGTATTTCATTCAATACAACAAACACTTATTGTTCACCCATGACAATTAGCAATTAATCCCTGATTTGAAAACAAATACCTCATTTTTTTCCCTTCCAGAGCTACAGGCTTTACAAAGACACCCTTTGTAAGAAATCTCTCTGCATCCTTAAGATGAATTTTCCTGCCTTCCTTTAAACCTAGAGAACCTCCCTCTGGTTTATTGGCAACGTGCACCATGGGTAAAGGGACTCAATACTCTTGCAAGTGTACTCCTTCTGTAGAGTCCATTAGGTGGACCCATATGAAATTGCTCCTTTGGAGAAAAAAAAACCTGTCAAATATCACTGATTTCATATGGTTCAGTCCAATGTATTAGATGGACTTTTAAAAAGTCAAAGTTAGTGTGAAATAAAACACAACTTTTCTTATGCTTAAGGCTTAAATTTATAAACAATACTTAGGAGTAGATGTCCCATTATTTTACCAGGTAATAATTACTTACACTTATTAGACTACTTATTAAGTAGTATATTGGAAAGAACATGATTTTTGAACCAGAACTTGTCCTTGATTCTTATCTCTACAGTTAGTAAGTATGTGAATTAACCTTACTTTCGTTTCTTCTTTTTCCCAGGATAGAGCTAAGGATTCAATGACACAATATATATGAAGTACTTTATAATCTGCAATTGTTACATACATGATAATTGGTATTGTTACCACTTCCTTTATGCTCTAGAATAATCCTGTGAGGTATAAAACACAGTATTATTGTCTCTATTAGATATATGAGAAAACAAAGTCAGAAGTTCATGCCTTGCCCATCATCATTGGCTTGTCAGTGGGAGGACTGCAACTTATACCCTCATTTTTTCTTTTCAAGTCTCTCCATCACAAGCAGTCCTCATCTTAAGAGGCAACACTTTGCTCATTATGAGAAAAATTTCAAGTTACAATAAATAATAGTAGCAATAAGGACTTCAGTTTATTGAATATGTCTCAGGTACTCTGTAAAGTGCTTCACAACACCCCCATTTGGTTGATATCATTATATTATCCAACTTCCAAATTAGAAAACTGAAGCTCAGAGAAGTTTAATAACATTCCTGTGTTCATCTACACAGTTGAGTGGAGGAGATGGAACTTGAATCCACTTTGGGAAGGCTCCAAAGCTTGCTCTTAACAGCTACTTGATTAAAACATATATTACCTATATAATCAGAAAAATTATTAAAATTGAAAAACATACTTCCTAATGCTGATGGTGAGCCTGTGGAGGCCCAGGTGAGTGGGCCAGTGACATACCTGAGCCTGTTCCCACGGCAGCTCACTCATGCCTCCTGCCTTCTGGGGAAGCTGCAGGGCCAGGGTGCCAGGCAGCACACTCACAGCGTACAGCACGGTCAGCACGGCCAGCTGCATAGCTGCTGTCCAGAGATGATTGCTCTCAGACTTACGGTTGGTTTGGTGTTTTTTGCCACAGGCTGGAGAAATTTATATAGCTTCTCAGACTTGAATGTGGAAATAGGTGACGCATTTGAGTGTTTTCTTTCTTTTTAGTGTCTACAGAACTTTGAAAGTATTATCTTTTATTAATGACAATGAGGAAGTATTATGTTTTTATTGGCAGGAAGCACACAATGTGTTTGTTTTTCAAAGGATTTTTCTCCCACCTGTCTTCTGTATAAATTTGACCCATGAAATTTTAAATTTAACACACTTTATTTGCCAGAATCAAATTGCTACTTAGACATGTCTTCTCAGTTTAAAAATTTGGGGAGCATTATTCAGGACATATTTTATCTTAACATAATTTTTAAAAAATTTGAAATGCATGGAAAAGTACGTAAAAGATACAAATACTCAAATCACTATTAAGCAAACATTTTGTAACAGTCTCCAAAGTCATAGAGGGGAATGATGGGAGGAGTGGCAAGTGGAAATGCTCTGCTGTGATTGGGTCGGTGGCCATCGTAAAGCCTGTGCTCCACTCCCTCACCTTCCAGGTACATTAGTGGAGCCCTGAGAATTCCCTCTTCAAGTCTCCCTTTAATCAGATTATTTCTTTTCTTAGTGGTCAACATCACTTGAATTCCTCTTGAATTACATGAAAAAATATTAAACAAAAAAAAACTTCAGGCATGGGCTTGCCTGTTCATCTACCATACTTACCATGCTTCACATTCTGTAGTTGCAGGTTTCTCCAAAGCTGGCCTTCAACTTGGAAATCACTTTCTCCACTCTTTCTCTTCCAATCACCCTGACACTGGCTGCTGACCAGCCACCACTTGGGCTAGTTTGGTCCTCAGCACACATAATGGTTATGCTACATATAGCAATTAAAGACCCATGACCTAGAGATTCTAGTCCATTTACTTCAATTTTCCTGAAGATGAAACTGAAGCCAAGACAACAGGTTCACTTATTTCTCCAAGGCTCACACAGCCAGTTAATAGTAGTCCTGACTCCCAGTCCAGTGCTTTTTGTGTCATATCACACTACCTATTCATTTTGTCATTATATAGAATACACATTTCTTGAGAGAGCACGTGGCTTTTTTACTATAATAAGTCATGGGAAACTCCCCAAATATGCTGGAGCTGAAAAATATAATAGAGGTCTTTGGCCTCCTTAGGTAGGTTTATTCCAGGTATTTTATTCTTTTTGTTGCAGCAGTAAATGGAAGTGTTTCCTTAATTTCTCTTTCAGATTTTTCATAATTAGTGTATAGGAATGCAAGAGATTTCTGTGCATTAACTTTGTATCCTGCTACTTTACCAAATTCATTGATTAGCTCTAGTAGTTTTCTGTTAGCATCTTTAGGATTCTCTATGTATAGTATTATGTCATCTGCAAACAGTGACAGTTTCACTTCTTTTCCGATTTGGATTCCTTTTATTTCTTTTTATTCTCTGATTGCTGTGGCTAAAACTTCCAAAACTATGTTGAATAAGTGGTGAGAGTGGGCAACCTTGTCTTGTTCCTGATCTTAGTGGAGATGGTTTGAGTTTTTCACCATTGAGAACGATGTTGGCTGTGGGTTTGTCTTACATGTCCTTTATTATGTTGACGTAAGTTCCCTCTATGCCTACTTTCTGGAGAGTTTTTATCATAAATGGGTGTTGAATTTTGCCAAAAGCTTTTCCTGCATCTATTGAGATGATCATATGGTTTTTCTCCTTCAATTTGTTAATATGGTTTATCACATTAATTTATTTGCATATAGTGAAGAATCCTTGCATTCCTGGGATAAAATCCACTCGATCATGGTGTATGATCCTTTTAATGTGCTGTTGGATTCTGTTTGCTAGTATTTTGTTGAGGATTTTTGCATCTATGTTCATCAGTGATATTGGCCTGTAGTTTTCTTTTTTTGTGACATCTTTGTCTGGTTTTGGTATCAGGGTGCTGGTGGCCTCTTAGAGTGTGTTTGGGAGTGTTCCTCCCTCTGCTATATTTTGGAAGAGTTTGAGAAGGATAGGTGTTAGCTCTTCTTTAAATGTTTGATAGAATTTCCCTGTGAAACCATCTGGTCCTGGGCTTTTGTTTGTTGGAAGGTTTTTAATCATAATTTCAATATCAGTGCTTGTGATTGGTCTGTTTATATTTTCTATTTCTTCCTGGTTCAGTCTTGGAAGGTTGTGCTTTTCTAAGAATTTGTCCATTTCTTCCAGGTTGTCCATTGTATTGGCATATAGTTGCTTGTAGTAATCTCTCATGATCCTTTGTATTTCTGCAGTGTCAGTTGTTACTTCTCCTCTTCATTTCTAATTCTGTTGATTTGAGTCTTTTCCCTTTTTTTCTTGATGAGTCTGGCTAATGGTTTATCAATTTTGCTTATTTTCTCAAAGACTAGCTTTTATTTTTATTGATCTTTGCTATTGTTTCCTTCATTTCTTTTTCATTTATTTCTGATCTGATTTTTATGATTTCTTTCCTTCTGCTAACTTTGGGGATTTTTTCTTCTTTTATCTCTAATAGCTTTAGGTGTAAGGTTAGGTTTTTTACTTCAGATTTTTCTTATTTCTTGAGTTAGGATTTTCTTGCTATAAACTTCCCTCCTAGAACTGCTTTTGCTGCATCCCATAGGTTTTGGGTCATCGTGTTTTCATTGTCATATGTTTCTAAGTATTTTTTGATTTCCTCTTTGATTTCTTCAGTGATCTCTTGGTTATTTAGTAGCATATTGTTTAGCCTCTATGTTTTTTGTGTTTTTTACAATTTATTTTCCTGTAACTGATATCTAGTCTCATAGCGTTGTGGTCGGAAAAGATACTTGATACGATTTCAATTTTCTTAAATTTACCAAGGCTTGATTTGTGACCCAAGATATGATCTATCCTGGAGAATGTTCCATGAGCACTTGAGAAGAAAGTGTATTCTGTTGGTTTTGGATGGGATGTCTTATAAATATCAATTAAGTCTATCTTGTTTAATGTGTCATTTAAAGCTTGTGTTTCCTTATTTATTTTCATTTTTGTTGATCTGTCCATTGGTGAAAGTGGGGTGTTAAAGTCCCCTACTATGATTGTGTTACTGTTGATTTCCCCTTTTATGGCTGTTAGCAATTGCCTTATGTATTGAGGTGCTCCTATGTTGGGTGCATAAATATTTACAATTGTTATATATTCTTCTTGGATTGATCCCTTGATCATTATGTAGTGTCCTTCTTTGTCTCTTGTAATAGTCTTTATTTTAAAGTCTTTTTTGTCTGATATGAGAATTGCTACTCCAGCTTTCTTTTGATCTCAATTTGCATGGAATATCTTTTTCCATCCTCTCACTTTCAGTCTGTATGTGTCACTAGGTCTCAAGTGGGTCTCTTGTAGACAGCATATATATGGATCTTGTTTTTGTATCCATTCAGCAAGCCTCTGTCTTTTGGTTGGAGCATTTAATCTATTTACATTTAAGGTAATTATTGATATGTGTGTTCCTATTACCATTTTCGTAACTGTTTTGGGTTTGTTTTTGTAGGTCTTTTCCTTCTCTTGTATTTCCTGCCTAGAGAAGTTCCTTTTGCACTTGTTGTAAAGCTGGTTTAGTGGTGCTGAATTCTCTTAGGTTTTACTTGTTTGTAAAGATTTTAATTTCTCTGTCGAATCTGAATGAGATCCTTGCTGGGTAGACTAATCTTGGTTGTAGGTTTTTCCCTTTCATCACTTTAAATATGTCCTGCCAGTCCCTTCTGGCTTGCAGAGTTTCTGCTGAAAGATCCGCTGTTAACCTTATGGGGATTCCCTTGTGTGTTATTTGCTGCTTTTCCCTTGCTGCTTTTAATTTTTTTCTTTGTATTTAATTTTTGATAGTTTGATTAATATGTGTCTTGGTGTGTTTCTCCTTGGATTTATGTTGTATGGGACTCTCTGCACTTCCTGAACTTGACTATTTCCTTTCTCATATTAGGGAAGTTTTCAACTGTAATCTCTTCAAATATTTTCTCAGACTCTTTCTTTTTCTCTTCCTCTGGGCACTCCTATAATTAGAATGTTGGCGTGTTTAATGTTGTCTCAGAGGTCTCTGAGACTGTCCTCTATTCTTTTCATTCTTTTTTTCTTTATTCTGGTCTGTGGTAGTTATTTCCAGTATTTTATCTTCCAAGTCACTTGTCTGTTCTTCTGCCTCAGTTATTCTGCTATTGATTCCTTCTAGAGAATTTTTAATTTCACTTATTGTGTTGTTTATCATAGTTTGTTTGCTCTTTAGTTCTTCTAGGTCCTTGTTAAACATTTCTTGTATTTTTCCATTCTATTTCCAAGGTTTTGTATCATCTTTACTATCATTACTCTGAATTCATTTTCAGGTAGATTACCTAGTTCCTCTTCATTTGTTTGGTCTGGTGTGTTTTTACCTTGCTCCTTCATCTGCTGTGTATTTCTGTCTTCTCATTTTGCTTAACTTACTGTGTTTGGGGTTTCCTTGTCACAGGCTTCAGGTTCATAGTTCCCATTGTTTTTGGTGTCTGCCCCCAGTGGCTAAGTTTGGTTTAGTGCGTTGTGTAGGCTTCCTGGTGGAGGGGACTAGCGCCTGTGTTCTGGGGGATGAGGCTGGAACTTGTCTTTCTGGTAGGCAGGACCAAGTCTGGTGGTGTCTTTTGGGGTGTCTGTGCACTTGTTATGATTTTAGGCGGCCTCTCTGCTAATTGGTGGGGTTGTGTTCCTGTCTTGTTAGTTGTTTGTCATGGGGTGTCCAGCACTGGAGCTTTCTGGTTGGAGTGGAGCTGGGTCTTAGCATTGAGACATATATCTCTGAGAGAGGTGTTACTGATTGATATTATGTGGGGCCAGGAGGTGTCTGGTGATCCAATGTCCTGAACTCTGCTCTTCTAACTCTGAGGCTCAGGCTTGACACCCGGCTGGAGCACCAAGTCCCTGTCAGCCACACAGTTCAGAAGAAAAGGGAGAATAAAAATAAAGAAAGAAAA